TATTGGAACCTATATACCCCCATCCGCAGCTCAACCTCATTTCTTCCTTACCTCGCCCTTTTTAAACCATACCTCTATACATCTTTTTCTCTGGGAGTGTTGAGCTCGATAATGGGTTTGTGTTCCTGCTCTCTCATGAGCTATAACGTCTGTTTCTACTTGTTGCCGTTGATTTCAGCGCCCTGGGTTTATTCCGACTTATCGGTTTTGGGAAAAGTATTACATCGATAGAAAAGAATTTCAAAAAAAAGTTTTAAAATATACTACTTCTTTCCACATGCACTTGTAATTAGTACTCCAGACTAGCATACCTTTTACCACCAGTATTAGTAGTAGGTGCCATGGATATGGCCTGATTTATGCCCAAGGTTTCACTAAGGTTGATTACAATAAGTCCCGAACACTCAATAGAAATGTATATTCTAAGTCCATACAATACACGGAGACAAGGAAACCCGGAGAATGAAAGAAATCCCGCAGGGATGCTAGAGCGAAAGATGCATATTGTGAAAGAAAGGAACTGGGGAAAGACCGAGAAGATCAATCGACTGGGTCTTCCTCCAAGAGGGTCTTGAAGCTGAATGGCAAGAATGGAGTACCCTCGCCCATAAAATGCTTGCTCATTGCCTCGACCCAATGCAAACGAAGAGCGTGAAGCATAGCACTGGTTCCTTCCATGACACACAGGACAATGACCTAGTATAAGTTAGCATATGATTGCATTTTAGAAATCGGCTTATAGGTAGACTTACCGAAAGGACAAACCACATGTAGAAAGTGACGACAATCATGATGACACGGACAACAGGGCTCTCGGTCTCAAAGGAACCACCAAGAGTCATGTTCCAAAGCACAATGGAGAGCTGCTGATGAGCCAGCGACAGAGCCCAAAGAAGACGGAGGTATGAAGCAGTGTGGGAGATACAGTTCAAACAAAACTCAATGGTGTGGATAACCTGGTGAATCATCTCATCGCCAAAGACGAACTCTTCGTGCTCCTCATCAATGTCCTGTGCTAGCATGGCGACACCCTCGCCGTCACTGGCAAGGCTGTCACGAGCTCCGCCATACCCTCCGTTCGCATCTCCATCTTCATCAAGAGCGCTGAAATGGGTTTGCTCTCCGAGTCCACGGTAGCCAAGGGCGCGCGATTTATTGTGCTCGTGGCGAAGCCAGAAGGGCTTGAGGAGCAGCATGATAGGAACCTGACAAACAGCGATGAGAAGAAGGATGACCTGCACCGCACTCTGGCCAGAGTAGAGTCGCTCGGTAACTGTGCCGGGACTCAGGAACATGAAAATAAGCATGTTGAGCAGACTCGGGGGAGCAAGGTCAGTCTCCTGCCAATTGATGGTCCACTTATAGATGATTGTGAGAGACAAGTAACCGAAGATGGACTGGAAGAACAGCATGCTGGGGACAAAGTTGCCCCAGAGATCGACCTTGGACTTGAAGTGTCGGGCATTGATGTACTGGAAGGTAAGAGCAAAGGTCATGTGGCACCAGCCTAGCAAGATACTCATCTTCATCTTCATACTGTTCGAAAAAAGCAAAGAGTTCTCTGCACCGTGCCAGTTCCAGTCAAGACCAATTGGGAAACGATAACCCTCTGTGATGGAAGCCTCGACGGATTGGCCTGCGGTGATATCCTGGGGCCATTGCCACTGACTGGAAATGAAGGTAAAAGGCCGAGAGAAGATATCGTTGTAGATGAAACCGGTGTACATGGAGAAGATACCCATCAACAACATAATATAACGTCCGTAGAAGAACATAGATGAGATCTCATCCAGCTTAGTGCGCGCCAGTTTCTTCTCAAATAGGATAAGAGCAGTTGCAGTCAAAGTCATCAAAAATCCGTGACCGAAATCACCGAACATGACGGCAAAGAGAAAAGGGAAAGTGACGACCGTATAGATTCCCGGGTTGACCTCCGAGTACTTGGGAATACCATAGGAGTTGACAATGGTTTGGAATGCTTCGGTGAACTTATTGGTCCGGACATAGGTGGGAGGGGTCTTGTTGGTCTGGATCTGGTTGACGATTGTCGGAACAGAGAGTCCGGCACGATCGTTCACATCTTGGAGAGTCGACTTGATCAAAGCAAGCGAGTTTGTTGGGCACCATGCCTCAGCAATCAAAGTTTTCCGGGCTTGATCATAGGAGAACTTGTTTAGGGTATCGTAGACAGCCTTCTCCTTCTTGACGATGATCATCCAAGCGGCGAGAGACCGGGCGATTTGCGAGAGTTCCGCATCCAGAGTGCTCTTGGTGTTTCGGAGCACATTGGTAACATCGCCCAGGCGAGTGTTGACCTCATGGATCTGGTCGCGTCGCAATTCACTGTTCTCATCGACACCGTACAAGGAAGCACCCAGGGACTCCGAGATTTTGCGAATCTTGGCGAGAATGTTCTTACCGTGAGCGAAAATCACGAACACGTTCTTGTGGATTTCTTCGTTGTTTGTAGGGTCGATGATGGGGTCGGCGATCTCAGACTGGTTCATGTAAAGATTGCCACGCAGTGTTCGCCAGAGGATACGTTCAAAAGCCCCGATGCGGTCACGGGGAATAACACCTGAGACAAATCCAATGTTAAGTTCCGAGAAGCTCTGCTGTCCTTGGGTATCTCCATTTGCACCAGCAGGGCCATGCTGCTCGACATCGCGTAGAAGTGGCGCCTCGTCGTTGTCGAAGGATTGGCGGATGTCTTCGGTCTGGGTGTGGGCCTGCGGTTTCTTATCAGTCTCACATACATCGCGGCTAATTATATAAACATAGACTGACCCGATCAAAGAAGCCACCAGCTTCTCTCAAGACCCAGCGCCATTCGGCAAGCTCGACCTCGCGCTTCTTCAAGGTCTCGTAGCTATCATTCAAGGAGGCAATGCGCTGCTCAAGACTCTCACTGCGTTCGGCCAACTCATCAATCTCCGAGGCTAGAGGGGCGGCCAGTGTATCCGAGAAGTCGTTCGATGGTCGCATAGTGATGCCAGCCTTCTCCATCTGAGCGTGGAAATATCCTAACATGCAAATAACAAGTTTAGCAGGTGTTTCACGTTGTACAATCAAAGTCGTTCACAAAGGAACCATTCTCAACATACGGAGTTGTCGTTCCACATTATCCAGACGGCGAATTTCCTTGGTGAACGTGCGTTGGAAAGCGTTGGTATCGGGGTTGAGCTAGACAAAACATCATGAACGTCAGCGCATTCAGTCATCTTCACATCGCAAAAGGAAGATTTTTCGATTCTGGAAGCCACATACATCCCTGAACTGAACCTGGCCAATTTCACCGAGTGAGCTGACAACCTCACGACCGATCTCGTTGGCGATGTAGAGCTGGGTCAGGCTCATGTCCGACGAGCGGAAAAAGGTATCCTGGGGGGCCATGGTGGATAGAAGGCTTCTTGGAGCCGTGCCTTTCCACCAAATGTGCACACCGAGAGGGAAAAGATCTCGAGATCTGAGAGAATAAAAGAGGGACACAGATGACGGCGTCGGCCGGGGATATGAAGCTACCTCCTGGACTCTCTGACCTGGTCGGAGCTCACGTGATGTCACGTGTGGCGCCTCCACCTGCGTCGTCATTCGACAGCAGCCCCATCGATACGAGTACAGTATATTCGAGGTCGAGGTTCCAAGGAGTGTTTCAGAGTTGAGACGCGTGGTAATCGAGTATGGGTGACTATAGTTTTGAATTTGTTCTTTTGACAATGCCCCCAAAAGTTTCTCTTTTCTTTCGATACAACCGAACGGTCGGCCTTTTCTGCAATTTATGTCCTCGAACTTTGTTGCGATGAACCAAATGTCACCGATACTCTATATAGCTTTTATCTATACTCTGCATGAATCGATCTTCGGCGATGTACATAGGAAGGACTACGAGTAGATAATCTTGGTTGCCTTTCCAAACCGGGGCGGTTTTTAGGGCAACAGATCCAGAACCCTTTCCCCCTCTTCCCACTTCGACCCCGCCCAGAACTTGTCCCTTAACCTTCTCTTTGGGTCCTCTTGCTCTCTCTATTGACATACCTGGACCTGATATTACTGTTCTCTTTGGAGACAGTCATTCCATCATACCTGGAGAAACAATTCCTCCCACAGCCGCTCTCGCACAGTCTGCCTGTGCTGCATGAGAGTGATTACTAATCATGTGACAAAACCCATAGGCGGTGATTTACTGCCACCTGTTAGCCTATATAGCACACTTATCAGGCCACCCTCATGTCCTTTTGGACATTTGGTCAAATGAAAATATACAGAGAAGATTAGCATGGCCCCTGCACTAAGGATGACACGCTCAATCAAAGAGAAGCTACCAGTTTTTTTTTCCCTTACAGATGCTTCGTTGAGGTAGGAGGGGTGGTTGAACATTTTGATCGCCCGTTCGAAACTCGGAGCGGGAGTTTCTGACTCCTTTTTTTCATTTTTTTTTTCATTCAGTTGCGTATGTAGTACACAACCTTGAGCATAACTATCCCGTATAATACAAAGTACATATAGCAGTATAAACCTTGAGCCAACCACAAGTCACAGATATCGGGATCTCGCACTTCACATGCCGCTCGATTTTCTTGGCATTGCTAGTCCTCATCCCTCTACCCCCCCACTGTGACCGAACTTCTGGTTTCACAATGGCATAGCGAGCCAGGCTCGATATTTCCTGAATTTCGCAGCCGCACGAGGCCGGCCCGCTTCTGGTCGATCGTCGGGCTGCCGCCTGGCCAAACCTTATTCCCCGGAAAGCCCAACCCGGCCTTTTGCTTGGGGATTCGCTCACTCCTCATCTACTCCTGTGAGAACCCCATATCCGATGGGGCACTAGCCGACCAGCGCGGGCGCCATGGTCAATTTCCTTGTAACGAATAGCAAGGACAGAAGCTCCCAGGCATGCGACAATTGCTTCCGACAGAAGGTGGGTGCTTCGTTTTTCCCTGAATCCCCCCCCGATGATGCAAGAATGAAGACTCACGACACCTACCAGATCAAATGTGACGATGCACAACCTCAATGTAATTGGTGTGCTCATCGAGGCATCGCCTGTACTTATGACCGGAAAAGGCAACGAGGTCCTCGAGGGTCTTCTGCCCAGCGGTATGCCGCGTGTCCCCGGCTTTAGGCGACTATTTTGAATTTGACTGGCTGACCTGGAAACCGTATCGAAAAAAATAAAGGAAGACCAACAAGAAATTAATGAGAGTGCGTGAAACTGCCTCCCCGCAGAAAGAACCACAAAAAGAAGAACAAGGTTTGTCATATACTCCAAAAATATCCCGTGTTCAAATTATTAAGATGCCCTGCAGAACCTACCAATCAAGTTCAAGTTCGCCCGTTCATCCATCATGTTGGAAACATCAATCTCAGCGATGGCGCTGTTTTATTCTCCCCCGAAGGCCAGAAATGGGTTGAGGATCTGACCGGCGAGAAAATGCCAGCAGATCTTTGTTTGGCAGCTTCGCGACCCTGGGAACGAGATCCAATCGTTGACACAGAGAGATGCCTCAACGCGGTACCTCTGGATAAAATGACTTTACCCGACCGGGAAACTATGGTTCAACTCACTAACGCCTACTGGAACACCGTCCATAGTCGAAGTTGGCCAATCCCTGACGAGGTGTTTTTCCAAGACACCATGGATGTAGCGTACGGAGCCCGAGAGGAAGCGCCTTACCGAGTTCATACAGCAACGATCTGTGTATGGGCTACTTGGGCATTCATCTCGACTTTTCCCACCCCATTTTCCGGAAGGCCCTCCGCGTTGCCAGCTCCACAACGAATTGAAATCATGACATCTATAATGGCCTCGATCAACCTACTGCAACAACCCCACCTAGAGCTACTGGAGGCCATTACGATGCTTGTGACCTTTCACTTGCTCTCGGGCAATGTCCAAGCCGGCATGATGAGCAATACAATTGCTGCACGCCACATTCTATGGCTCGGAGCCCACACGAGAGACTGCTACTCAAAAGCTAACACTTTCCTCTCGACCGGCGATGAAAACTTCCGACGCGACTACCATCTAAGAAATCTATTTTGGATCTGTTACCAACAGGACAAAGAATTATGTATTCGCTCAGGGCAACCGCCGGCTCTTTTCGAGTATAACTGCGACCTCAATCTTCCAACCGCCTACGAGGAAAATCTCAACTTCTCACTCAAGTTTGAACGAGATGACAATGTGGTTTATCCAGGTGACCTGCGTTTAAGCCGGATCAAGTCAACGGCATACATCGATCTTTACTCCCGACGAGCTTTGGACAAAAGCGATGCCCTCATTCTCAGTGGTATTCGCCAGCTTGATGTAGATTTAGAGCAATGGCGCATGTCTATTCCGGCGGAGTATCGCCCAACCTTGCTCTTTTCACAGGAAGGCCGGAGACCTCCTGCACCTAACATTAGATCCCTGATGTTGCGCCTGGAATATCACTATTGCATGGCCTACATTCATCAAGCCTGCGGACGATATGGAACGTGGTCTGGCATGCAGGGTCCGGAGATCCAAGGTGTGAATTCTAGCCTAATCCTTTCGATTGCAGCATGCCGTTCTTCACTTTATTATCTACTGGCAGTGGGCTATGCATTGGCTCCAAAGGATTTCTGGTACGTGTCGCTTCATCAGACTCATGAACTTATCTAGGGCTTACCATCATAATTCTAGGTTGATACTATTTTATCCCCTCTCGGCCATCGTGTCAATATTCTGCTACATCATCTCAAATCCACAAGCGCCAGAGGCTACAAGCGACCTAGAGCTTATCGGGCAGATGGCGGTTCAGATTCGAGAGTTAGGGGAACAAGAAGACAAATTGAGTGGTGAGCCCTCAAAATCAGAGCGAGCATGGAAGGTTGTTACAGCGCTTGAAAATCTCGCGAGATGTACGATAGAGAAACATAATTTGTGATTGAGCAGGTGCTCAAACCGTATGGGAACGACCAGTGTATTATATATAGACTTTCTGCTAAGATGAGCCGATTGCTCCTCGAACCTACCCGGTCAATTATCTATGGAGAAATGTGGTGGGCAGTGTAAGGGATGACTCTGACTTCGCCAATCAATCCAGTATCGACCTTGCTAGGCAGCGAGGTTAATATGGGCTTTGACCCCGATATTTCAAGATCGTCATAGATGCTGCTAATGTAGTTCCACATTAGAGTTGGAACAACAGCAACCACGCGGTTGGGACCTTTCCGCAGTAAGGGACCGATATCGACTTAGGGCCTGGCAAAGTTCAATGTTTGAACAGGCTGCTCATTGACAAACAGCTTCAGGCCGTGAGAAATTTGTGGCAGCTAGATGTACGCCCCGTCAATCGACCCAGTGCTGTTTGAAGTAGTTGGAGGCCATGAGAATTGTGTCGAGTAATACCCGACGCCTGATGCGTTTTGCAACCCAGGGATGTCTAGCCAAGATACCAAAGAGTTGAAATGATGTGTCGTGTTGTGCTTTTCAGCTACGATCGTCGCGACTGACATGTGTGGAGCCTCCCAATGCTCGGCAACCAGCTTCCAACTATTCAAAGAAAACGAAGACAAAGCCGTGTTTGCCGAGATGTTGAATGTCTTGCCGTTGGAGAGTTTCAAGAGATGGTCACTTGGAAGTGATCCAGTTTTGGCATGCACGGCCAAACTTCCAGCAGCAGTGACGTTATACCCCAAGACGTTCGAGGGGACATGAACTGTATGCGACGAAAGCGTAGCAACTTCCGAGACCCAATCATTGCTGAAGGCAAGAATGGCAGTTTCATTGGGGGCGAGGCTAAGAGGGATTTTTGTGATTTCGATTCACATGGTGGAGGTGTTTACATATTTATCCAAATTCATACCTAGGTAACATTGTTGACTGAAGGTGGTTCTCCCTGGGTTCCCGCGTCATCATAGTCGGTGGAGAAAGGGACATCCGACCTGAAGATCTCAATTTATGCTTGAAAATACCTTGAACTGCTATGATCGTCATACGTCCTGAACCGATTATCTAATCGGGATACACACCAGTACCTCCCATACAGACTCAGAATGGGCTGAAAACGAGGAGAGTGGGAAAAGCTCGAAATATTCAAGTTTCTGAGAATAAAGAATGAAGATCAAAGCTATGTATGATCTATGGGACAGCACATCGCCTCAGTTGAGCCTAAGCGCCGAGTGACTGTGGATACTCGGGATTTCCGAGTCAAGTCCCGATTAACGATCTGTGGTTTTGGGACCTGGCAAAAACAAGGACTCTTCACAGTTCTGGGCAGGGATCGTCACTGAATATGTGGGGTGAATGTACCAGATGGTGCACAACTCATTCCCAAGATAGTAGGTGATAGTCACTAACTTTGGGGTCTTTCTAGATCAAAGAGGGCAAGCGTATCTCCATCGAGGTGCAGTTCCTGATAGACCTTGAATCCGCTTTTTTGGAGAACCTTCATGCTTCCGATATTTGCTTTATTACACGCAGCGAATAATCTTTCCTTCTCTGACGCTGGTCTCAGTTGTGCCGGGTCTATCCGGTCTAGTTTCCACCACGCATTTATCATTCCTGTCACAGCTTCACTGGCGTATCCCTTGCCCCAAAAGTCTGGGTGGAGACCATATCCAATTGAAGGAGCTGGAGCAAGGGAATTGATTCCAACTGTACCAATAACCTTTTGTGTGGGGTCTTTGGCGCTGATTATTGCGAAGTGGAATTGTTTCCTAATAGCTCCGGTTGCGTCGGGAGTCTGAAAGACCTTACCGGCAATGTTTGCTTCTGTTTCCTCGATATGACTGTGGGGTATTTTTGGCCATCTAGATAATTTAGCCAACCTTCCCATGAGCCTGGGAGCTTTCTGCTTAGATATGACCGGGCAATCTTCCAAGGTAAGTCAAGGGTGTGAACTTACAGCCATTCTGCTACGTCTTGTCGAGATCGAAACTCGAAGACGTGTGCCGCGTCGCTTGATCTCAAGGGACGCAAGCGAAGATTCTTAGTTTCAATCACGTCCGGATTTGGAGGTACGACAACTCTGACAGGCTGCGCCGGGTACAAAGTTCCCTTAGTGGGGACCTGTGGTGCAGCTTTCATTCTGTAGGTGTCAGATCGGCGTGGGAATGTGTTGTGTCGACTCTTTGCGGCAAGATGGGTTTGATAAATCCAGCAAGCGCAAAGATTGGAATCCGAGGGGGAAGACTATTGGTTGTTTTGAGATTGACTGAGAGTGCCATCATGATGTTGACTCATTCTTCCAGGTGCCCCCACTTTACGCAGCAACGAGCCAGATGATTCAAAGAAGATACCAATAAACATAGCAGTAGATTATAAACTTGATATTATGTTGAACGCCAGAATATGTTGAATATAGTGTACACTCGTAATGCATAATTGCATGCGTGGGATCGCGTCGAGAACTGACTCTGCGCATGCAGTCGCAGTCGCGAAACAGGAATAAAGCTGTATAGCGGAGGAGATGAGATGAGGTGCCTAGGAACTCCAGTCACTTGTTATTCAAAGAGCCAGCAGCCTATGCACCGCCTTCTCTCTTTGCATATTCCTCCTCCATGCGCTCCTCGTAGAGGCGATCAGCCTCTTCTCTGCTGAGGGTCCGATCCCCCTCGGCAAGTTGTGAAAATCGCGACGCATCACTGGTAGTGCTTGATCCAGATCTGAGGCCGTGGCTGCCATTGTTTGATTCAGCTGAGGAGCTAGCGGAGGCTGTCGCGTGCGTGTTGTTCTGGCGCTCCTTGTCCAAGATGTCGGCAGTCGGGATAGGCATTCTGGTAGTAGGGAGAGATTTGGTATCGGTGATTGTAGATAAGGTGAGAGTTGCAGGGTAGGATTTGAGATGGATGGAAGCTGTGGATGCAGAGAAGAAAGTGGTAGATTGTAGATTGTAGATTGTAGGTTGTAAATTGTCCCTCCGAGTCAGCTTGCTACCGCCACGGGTGGCAAGAGCTCCGACGTCATTTCGTTGGTGGGTCGCTCTGTACTGTACCGGCCACTGTTGACCGCCTTGTATGCATAATGTACAGTTTTCATACTAGAATTCTATTGATTGTTGATATAACTAGTATCCACAAAAGAATCAATCCCTCCTGCAAGAAAAATCCTCATCTCTGAGCTCGCTCATTAGCCCAGGCCCCATCATCATAAACAGTCATTAGGTAAACATCAAACACCAAACATCTAAAACAACATAGATCATGTATTGCAATATTTAGAGTCGAGAGCGAGCAGGCTTCTGAAGCTTTGGATCATTATAATCCCCGTCAGTCAGCATCTTCTTCATTTCCGGATCGTATAATGGCTCAGCCGTGATGGTGGCGGCAATACGTCGGCCAAAATACTCAATTTCAACCCCCGCCCCTTCGCCTAGATTCCCAGGTAGCCAGGCATAAGCAATCGGCTTGCGAACCGTATATCCAAATGCTGAGCTCGTCACATAGCCAACAGCCTTGCCATTTTTAAAGACAGGTTCCTTTCCTAGGACCATGGACCGGCCGTCGTCGACAGTCAAGCAGCGCAGACGACGCACAGGGCTCTGCTTGGAGAGACGATCCACCGCAGATTTGCCGACATATTCTTCCCACTTGCTTGCTCGAATCATGTGACCGACACCTGCTTCATATGGGTTATGCTCGGTGTTCATGTCGATGCCATAGGTTCGGTAGCCCTTCTCTAATCTTAGTGCATTGAAGGCACCGCGACCAGCTGCGACAAGACCATGGTTCTTGCCTGCTTGGAAGATAGCATCCCATAGCCGTTGACCATATTCGGCACTTGTTTGAATCTCCCAGCCGAGCTCACCGACATATGATTTTCGGAAGACAGTTGTTGGGATGCCGTTGATGATTGCATTCTTCACGCCAAAATAACGTAGACCCTTATTGGAGAAATCGTCAGAGCTGATCGCTCTGATCACATCCCGGGCACGAGGTCCCCAAAGGCCAATGCAACAAGTACTGCCGGTGATATCACGAACTTGCACCCATTGCCCTTGGCGGCGGGCTTCACGGGAGATATAGGCTAAATCGGTAGCAGTGTTTGCGCCTATCTGGAACACATTTTCTTCCAGTCTTGACACAAATATATCACTGCGGATACCACCTTGATCATTCAGAAGCAGTACCCAAGATATGGTACCTGGATATGCGGCGATGTCACCAGTTGTCAGTCGCTGAAGTAGTTGAAGAGCTCCAGAACCCGCAACTTCAAATCGGTGGAAAGAGGTCATGTCGAACATCGCAACAGCATTTCGTGTCTTCCATGCCTCTGCAGCGACGATTGGTGAATAGAATTGCGAAGACCAGGAATCCCTCTCAACGGGCTTCCATTCAGCTGGGAGGGAATTGAGGAGCCCTGCATTTGCCTCGTACCAAAATGGACGTTCCCAACCTCCAAGCTCAAGGAAATATGCGCCAAGATCCTTCTCGCGGGAATAGAATGGACTGGTTCGAAGTGTTCGAGGGGATTCCTTTGGCTGTAGAGGGTGTAGGATGTCGTAGATCTCGACAAAGTTTTGTTGGGAAGTTTCGCTGACATAGTCATGGCTGAGTTGAATTTCTTCGAAGCGAGTGAGCTCACACTCAGTCATATCAATCTGAGAGCGGCCTTCAGTAAGGATTTCAGCCAGGGCACGGGCGACACCGGCTGAGTGTGTGACCCATACAGCCTCGGCTACATAGAAGCCATCTAGGTTGGGTGCCTGCCCGAAGACGGGTCCTCCGTCCGGGGTAAACGAGAAGATTCCGTTAAATCCATCCTCAATTTGAGTACTCCGTAAAGCGGGAAGGAGTTTCTGAGATTCTGTCCAGGCAGGAGCAAAGTCTTCTGTGGTAAATTCGAGGCGGGAGGGCATGTTCTTCTCGTCGACATTCTGAGAAGTGAGCCCCAAGGACGAAGCAACGACTGGCATAGGGCGATGGCCATAGTAGCCAATTCCATATTGTCCACCATGCTCACGGAAGTATAGGTCCTGATCCTGGTGTCGAAGAATTGGGAGGGTTGCATTCAGACCGTTTGGTTTGTTGTTGAGGTCTCGACCGGCGAGAGCGGGAACGGTAGTCGTCTTTGCGTACTGATGCGCCAAAGGCAGCAAAGGGATCGGCAAACCAACCATCTTACCAATCTCAACACCCCAGAATCCAGCACAGGAAACGATTATATCTGCAGGAACGGTTCCACCAGGGATGGTCACGCCTGTCACCCGGCCATTTGCACGTTCGATACCAGTTACAGGGGTAGAGCCGAGATAACGGACACCAGCTTTGCTGGTACGTTCAATAAGCAGCTGAGTGGCGCGGGCTGCGAGCGCTAGACCGTCGCTAGGGATATGCAAGCCGCCAAGAACCATGTCCTTATTGAGATGAGGGTACATTTCAAGGCACTCCTCGGCACTGACGAGACGTGCATCGATTCCCCATGACGAAGCGTAGCCATGCTTTCTTTTGAGGTCCTCGAGTCGTGCAGGGGTTGTCGCCACCTCCAGCCCACCCACTTGATTGAAACAACCCTGGCCGTCTTTCTCAATCGATTGAAGTTTCTGGACCGTATATCGAGCCAAGTGTGTCATCGTCTTGGAGGGGGTGGTCTGAAAGACGAGTCCGGGGGCATGTGATGTCGAGCCACCCGGCATGTGCAATGGGCCTTGCTCGACGACTGTGATGTCTTTCCATCCCCGAGAGACCAACTCATCTGCGAGATTGGTACCGACAATCCCGGCGCCAATAATGACAACACGCTGCGTGGAAGTCATTGTGAAGGAGCGAATGATTAGCTTGACAAACCTGCGGGGCAAGGCTTCTCTTATGTATGCGCCTCACAACAGACCCAGAACCTTCTTGATATCGTGCGGGGGAGGGTTACTTCCCCTCGCA